ACCCCACTATAGCCTACACAATATGCATGAGCTATAATATTCTGACAGAATCGATGAACGCCACAAAACCGTACTGTGGATAATTTGGCGCTTGTTCCCCCCTTGTTACCGTTTATGAGGAAGGAAGAAATGCTAAGTACACCCAGTTATTCGTTTATCTCACCAAGCGCGTTTCGGTCGGAGGTGCTTGTCCTTTTCGCCCGGTGCTTTTAATGTCTGCGAGTCACATCTCCCTGCGTATTGCCGTCCCTTGCTCCCAAAATGTGGCTATTAATACGTTTTTGCAACTGTAGGCCGGCCTGACCTAATCATGACTAATAAATTTGGCCTCGTCTTTAGCGCGAATGCGTGTAACTGTAGTGTTCTGCCACCAATTTTCTTCGACGTTTAGCAATTCAATGCTGAACTGATCACGCGCGTGAATCGATTCTACGTGACATAAACGCATCGCTTCCAACCTTCTATGTGAATGTACCGAGCTGGTGGCACAATCGCGGGTGCATCAAACGAATAAGTGGGTGTACGTGTATTGTTAGAAGAGAGAGTTCTCCTTCTCTCCCTAAGTCCGCGTCGGCTCCCGAACCGTTGTCAGAATCTCTAACACGCGCACACTAGCATAGCACCACGCTTTGCGGTAACGTACACGTAGCGGCCCTTCTCGGCGCTGGCCTAAGTTCCGCGCTTAGTACTAATAGTCAGCACTTAGCAGCCACGCGCGTTCTTAATGCCACTGGTACACTCGCCGAGCGGCGCCAACTGTATCCCGTCGACCAGTCCTTCGTAGTGCTGGCTCTGAGAGCTCTGTTCATCCACCTGGCATGACCACTACAAGACAGCAAACGCAACATGCTACAGTGGCCCAAGACTTGCCGAGTCTGTCCGATTCGCCGTCAAAATCTGATCCGATGCGATGACGCGACTTGTCTGTCACGAAGACTCGTCAAAGGCCCGGTGACGTGTCGTGTCGTGTCTTGGCCTCAGGCCTCAGGAGAGATAGCGGCGTTGGTGGTGCCGCTCTTTTCTTCCCTGCTGATGTTCTCCGCCGATCCTCTCCCCCGATCGGTGCTCCGCCGATCGGTGCCCCGCTGATTGGTTCTCCGCCAGTCGGTGCTCCGCCGATGGCTGACAGTTGCGTGCGGGGGGAACGTCCGACTCCCGCGAACCGCGCTTCACGCGTCCCCACCTGAAGGCGAAGAAACGGGGGTTTGAGGGAATTCCCCCCGTCGACATTTTGGCATTAATTCCCTCGCCTTTTGCGCGATAATTCTCACGTCATCCATGGCGTCACTCTCACTCATCTCACCTTACCCTCCATCGGTAACGGTGGTAACGGTACCGCCGCTGAGTCATCATGGCGCTGAGTTACTACAGATGTTCTCAATTAGAGTCCCAGTGAAAAACACGCGCGCTGCGGGCCTTTGTGGAAAACTCACAAACCCCGGGAAAAAGGGAACTTATAGTCCCATAAAAGGAAAATTGCATGAAGAGTGGTTTTTCTTTGCTACTATTCGTGTTTTTCTGTCACATACGTACATTCGGACTACGCTGTCCTCAACTTCTCGTCGCACGGTTCGCCGCGTTGATCAGTGTCGCAGGACAAACGGGCAGAAAAATACAAAATAAATTATGTTTAAGGCCGAAATGAAGACTACATTTTTTGTTTTACACTGTAAGCGAGATTAATGAGATGGCATTGTCGGAGCTCGTGGGGAACCGCGCGACAGGATGTAGACGCAAGAGAGGTCAAGATAACCAGACAAACACAACTGCTAACACTAAATGTTGAATCAAAACTTCATTTTGTTTTAATTTTCCTTATTGTTCTGACAGGTTCGATTTGCGTCCTCTGATTGGCTGCAGAACTGATTCGCGCAATGATTCAGTCAAGATGCAAGATTTCCCGCCAAAAATGGGACTGTAGAGGAGGGGATACACCTAGGACTTATGTGAAAAATCTACTCGTTGAGGAAATGGGACTCTTTTAGGAAGGGCCTCTAAGCCAGAACGGCTGTATTGGTGTTCGTAGCGCATGGCGTGGACTTAGTCGAGCCCGCATTGGTTACATACCTTACCGCTCATGGCATTCACTGATCGCATGGCGTCTACCTTACCGCTGATGGCACTCACTGCACGCCCGCACTCAGTGTCTATGTTCATGAACCCTCTTATGCGTCGAGACTCGAGCGGAAGTTATCTCCCTGCACAGCCCTTCCCTGCAGCTCCATCAATTTGAGTAGCACTGCGTCAAAACTCGTCCCCAACGCTGTCCATCGTTACTATTCACCTTCCACCCGCCGCGACTCCATCCGCCTCGATTAGTATGTAAACGCTCGCCGGGAGTGCGACTTCAAACAGAGTCCCGACTCGGATTCACCCGCCATCATAGCAGTTGCAGCTCAACCCATTTCCCGATTATCCCGCCTCAGGCTCTCCGACTTGAAACCATTCAAGGTCCCTCACCTTAGGGTTTCGCAATTCGCCGTCCCTCGCCGATTCTCTCCATTTCTCTCCGTTTCGACTACCAGCAGTAGCGATCGCAATTTCGACCAGCGAACTTCTCCATCATCGTTGGAATCACCATGTCGTCGCATCGCACGTCGTCGACCAGCGCCGCCGCGACGCGCCGATCTCGCGCGAGCCCCAGCCCCAGCGCCGGCGGTGGCGGGAATCGTCATCATCGGCTCGGCAGCGGCGCGGCACTGCCGCTGAATTCCAGCAGAACCCTCGAGATTCAGCTCAGCGCCGCTGCCGCCGGCCATGACGGCGCTTATTGCGGCGTCACCACGTGTACCTCGGATGTCACCGCCGCATCCGCCGCCGCTACGGATGTCGCCGTTACGAGCTGCCGCAGTCCCACGACTACTCTCGACTTCCCCGCCTCCCCTTCCGCGTTCTCTTCCGCCTTTCCTTCCGCGGAAGAGACTTCCGCTTCCCCTTTCGCCTCCCCTTCCGCCTCCGCGTGGCCGCATGCGTTCCCGATCTCTCCTTTCGCCGACTCCATTCCGTGGCCCTCCAATTCCGTGCGATTCAGCGCAATTGACGGAGAGCCGTTCCCCGCGGCGACTCCCTGCGGCCCCTCCGTTGAGGGAGGAGCTGGTATCGCGGCAGCCGACGTGGCGCTTGAGGATTGGTTGAATGAAGCAGCGGCGTCAATGGTTGACACGTGCCGGGCACCAATGGTCTTGAGACAGAAGCAGCGGCAGCGGCTGATGCGGCAGTGGTTCCACGATGCTCCTCATGGGCTCATTCCCTGAAATCAACCGAACCAGCTAAGTCAACCAAGTCAACCGAGTCAACGCATTTGAAAGCAGTTTATGCTGCCCTTGGTTGTACCAAGTGAATGCAGGCAATGCAGAGAATGCTCGTGGTGAATGTCCCAGTCAATGGGGCAACCCAGCTGTGATAGCTGTCAACTCCAGGTTCCGAGCCTCGAAGTCAGCTCCAGATTTCCCTCTGGTTTTCTGAGCCTGCAGCCTCGTATGAGCCCCAGAAATCAAACACCTGTGAACTTGCAACCCCAGCAGCAGAGGTTCGGATTGTGCAAGTTGGGGGAGAGTTGAGGGGCGGCAGTGGGTGGTGGTGAGGAGGGAGATCGTCAGGGTGCAGTATGGCACCGCAAGGGCCATGCGTGCACCGCAGCAGCGGGGAGATGCCTGCAAGAACATCCGGACGGCCGCCATTCGCCATGTGGGGTCAGCCGAATGCATGGCTCCTCAGGTGTTTTCAGGGGCGTATGGTGCTGAGTGGGATGGGTGGAGCCTGGTGCTACTCCCTTCTTGATGCTCCGTGGCCAGACGCCCTTCCCGTGTGGCAGACACAACAACAGCAGCAGGAACAGCAGCAGGAACAGCAGCAGCAGCAGCAGCAGCAGCAGCAGCTGCAGAGAGGAAGAAAGGACAGCAGAAAATGCAGCAGGAGCGACAGCAGTGGGGAAGGGGAGAAGCAGCTGATAACATAATGCAGCTGAAGGTGGTGGCGGAGGGCTAGCTGAGGCGACAAGGAGGGGGTTGAGCCACAGCCGGAGGTGGCAGGCAGGAGCTGTCGTCGCCAGCCAACCATCTCATCATTCGCATGCTCTCTGCTGAATCCTGATCCCTGCAGCCGAATCACTAAGGACGAGTCTCTCAGTTGTAACTTCCATTTTCCGTATGCTCCTTTTGTGAACTGATAATGTGAGCAATCGAGCCTTGTGTCGGGGGAGGGCCTAGGAGAGGGGAGAGGAGAGGTGGTTTACATACATTGTTTATGTGGTTGAAGTACCGGATGATTTTTTGTGAGAGTTTGTGTGCTGCGGTGTGGCTAACAATGAAGATTTGTACGGTATAATGTACCGAACTTACATGAGTCAATCGAATACAAATGTGAGCGAAGGCATGAGCGAACATTTATAGCGAAAACAACAAACGGTAACGCGGTGCGTGCGACCAAGCTAGTTCGATGCTAGCAGCGAGGTTTGGGCTAGCCCCGAAGCGTAGGCCGATTCGGCCAAGTCCAGCAGACGAGGTTTGGCAAAAGTGAAGCGTGAAGGTGACGAACACCGTTAAAGCCAACAGCTAAAATAGTGACCCCCCCCTTCTAGTTGGGTCCACTTGAAAACAAAAGTTTTTTTGGGACGTCTCGGAAAGTTGGAAGTGCTGTACGTTTTTATTTTTTCACTCCAGACAAGTCTCGATATGAACGGGGAACATTTGGAACCTGTTTACATTTCTGATTGGCGGCGAAACTCACACACAACTCACACACATACATGTGCGAATTTGGCGCAAGGTTGCAAGGCCTGTACTCAGTCGAGCAGTCATCGTAACTTCACCAAAACTCACAACAATCAACAGCACAGGCACAACTCAGCGCACACACATATGCACGATCTGGGAGTGAATGTTGGCCGACGAATGGAAGAGCTGCGAGAAAAAGGGTTCCTTGGGCTTGAGGTTGAGAGAGGTAAAAAAATAGGGAGAGAGAGAGGGGAACAACGGGATGGGAGGGGAGACCGTGAAGAACTACGGAAGGGAGGGAGAGAGGAGGCGAACGACGAGATGGGAGGGGAAAGGAAGCGAACGACGGGATGGGAGGGGAAGGAAGCGAACGACGGGATGGGAGAGGAGAGGAGGCGAACGACGGGATGGGAGGGGAGAGGAGGCGAACGACGGGATGGGAGGGGAAAGGAAGCAAACGACGGGATGGGAGGGGAAAGGAAGCGAACGACGGGATGGGAGGGGAAAGGAAGCGAACGACGGGATGGGAGGGGAAAGGAGGCGAACGACGGGATGGGAGGGGAGAGGAGGCGAACGACGGGATGGGAGGGGAAAGGAAGCGAACGACGGGATGGGAGGGGAAAGGAAGCGAACGACGGGATGGGAGGGGAAAGGAAGCGAACGACGGGATGGGAGGGGAAAAGAAGCGAACGACGGGATGGGAGGGGAGGACGTGAGCGATAGGAGATGAAGTGGACGGGATGGGAGGGGAGATTGCGCGAACGCGATGGGAGAGAGAGCGCGAAGGCGATGGGAGAGAGAGCGCGAAGGCGACGGGAGAGAGAGCACAAAGGCGACGGGAGAGAGAGCGCGGAGGCGACGGGAGAGAGAGCGCGGAGGCGACGGGAGAGAGAGCGCGTTAGGCGACGGGAGAGAGAGCGCGAAGGCGACAGGAGAGTGATAGGCGAGCGCGAGAGAGGAAGGCGACCGGGAAACGCAACGCGATGATTGCGCGAGGCTTGGAAACACAATGCGCTAATACAAGATGTATTACGCAGAAGCGCGAAGTTCATGACTACGCGCCTAGTCGGAAATTGTCGAGGTCCTAAGCTACTCAATGTTAGGCAGAAAGCTGGAATGATTAGTTCTCACTCTGCTATGTGAGTAAACTAGTGACTAAGTGGGTGATGAACCCAGGACCAGCTTGAAATTGGAGTTGGGCCTGGCGACGGAAAAGCATCGCCAGGGAACGGTCGTGCGGATGCAGCACGCACGTATGCGACAACTGATATGAACCTCGAAAATCGTTTTGGCGGGAGCCAATTTTTTTCAGATTGGTGTGAGCCAATCAGATTACTTCAACCTGCCTAACCGTTTTGTTTGGAACATTGTTGTATCAGCCGAACTCATCGCAGCGATTTCAAGGTGGGACGGCCTTCACTATTTTATATTTCGGTTTTAAGTAGTAGCGTGCGAAGAAGTGGTTGGTCTTGTATGCGTTGATGTGTGTCAATTTTTATATATATACTTGTTAGGAGATAGTGAGCTGCATCACATAGGTCATAGGGTTGTACATTGTACGGTACCGTATCACACTTACACTAGTGAAACCAACCCTTTCGAACATGATAACGAGAGTAGGTCGACTCACGCTTCCGCTTCCTCTCTCACCTAGCCTAGACGAACTTCAGCTCTGAAGGAACAAGTAGTTGGGTCGTGCTACATCCAGTTATCTCCCCCCCTGCCAGCCATTGTCCGTCCCCTCATGCCAGCCGTCGTTCCCTCGATCCCGACGTTGTCACCCCCCCCCCCCCCCTCCCCCCCCTCTCCCCGCGCCACCAGAACGCGAGGCTGCTGCGCGCGACGCCATTGCACGCGGCAGCACGCGCGGAACGCACGGTCAACCGCCGCTTGTACAGCACGCGCATTGCAGCACGTGGCAGCAGCTGCACGCATGCCAGCCGCTAGCGCGCGTTCCGCCAACGCTGGTGTGAGTGTATGTCCCGCTTCTGAATCGAAAGCTTCGTGAGAGAAGACAAATTGGCGAAGTCGGGGTACTTAAGAGGCGATATCCCCCCAAGAAACAGCGTGTGCAGGCGTTTCAGCTGGAAGAACGAGATCGGAAGCTCCGTTGCCCGATGGAGACACTGAAGTGACAGCTGCTCTAAGCGGCGGAAGAGACTATCCAGCCCAGCTGCCATGACGGGGTATCCCAAATCCTCGAAGTCCTCCTCATCATACTCATCCTTTGGAGCAATGCGTTCGCCGACATGAAGAGCGGTTAGGTTTGGAAAGGAAGAGCCGATAAATGCAAGAAAATCGTCGTCAATCGTTTCCATGCTCCCATCGCTCAAGTGCAGGCGAGTGAGATTCGGGAAGGACGCCAAAACGCGTTTGAGATCCTGACGAGACACGAAACTATTCTCTCGCACGTGAAGCATTGTGACGGATTTGTGTGCAATCTTCCGCCAGCGACGGCAGACGGAGGCGATGACGAGAACGTGTGAGGCATCGGCAGAGGTAGGAGGCATGGAGAAATGCGTATCAGGGCCTGGATCTAAATATTTGGCGGTTCTAGTGTAATCCGAGAGAGATAATGAAGAGGCTGGCAGGAATGCGTCTGAATGCCAGAAGATCCTATTAAACGCATCGTCAGGAAGACAAAGGATGCTCGTAGCAGTGCTCATGTCCTAAGATTGACCTACTAAAGCTTTGAATTCTGCGACGTTTGTTTCACCACGAACACTAGTACTAGGCTTGGGAAGGGCTATGTTAGTCAAAGATAAGAGAGGATGCTACAGGTCAAACGATCAGGGTATCAGCAGATAAATATAGATGCCAGTTCTACCGCTGAGATCTTGGCAAACAATGCGAAGATGAAACGAAGGGCTTGAACAGACTGGAGCTTTTACATTAGTTTGTGTCATGGTTGCCAGATTTACGCAGGAGAAAAACATCACCATGCAATGCAGCATGCCTCACAGTTGCTATTATAGACATGGGGAGGGGATGGGAAACACAACCATGGAGCATGTCTCATCTCGCAGGCCGTGTTCTGCAGGCGCACCAGCCTGATGCACCAGAGGCTTGGCCTGATGCAGACATTGAATGACATTGAGGTTCGGAATTGAGACATTCAATTTCCTAACATTCAATTTCGACTACCAAAATGTTACAGGTTTCTAGGAAGTTACAACGCAAATTTTTTTAAGGGTGCCAACCAAAGAGGGTTTAGGAAAAAACAGATTGACCAAAAAGGGTGCTCCGCACCAGCTTATGCGCGCATCATGCGACCTCGAGAGGTTGCATGATGCGCGCATCGGTGATGCGTCAGATTGCTAGGGAAGGAACCTTTTTGGATAGCGATCACATTTCAAATTTCGAGGGCCAAAAAGGCTGTTCTGCAGGCATTCGGGATTCTTTTGCTTCGGCAGCCATGTGCTTATTGTCGAACTTATATGCTATAGTCTTTCTAGGCTGTAGTGGGGTAGACAGTATGGGGTACAGCTTTCTAGGGTTTCATATTTGTACCCAACTCATTTCCTAGTTCATCATTCTCGTTCTAACTATTAACATGGTATAGAGCAGGTTCCCTAGTGGGAACGGTTCCTAGGGCCCACCACGATCAACTTTTTTTTTCTCTCCTGCCCGGAGCGCGCTTCACTCCTGCCCGAGTCGCGCCCCGTGTGCCCTCCCTCCCGTCGCGTCCCTAGCCCCTAGCGGCCCGACGCGCCCTCTTACGGCCCCTCGCGACCCCTTTCACGGCCCTTCGCGGCCCCTTATGGCCCCTCGCGGCCCCTTACGGCCCCTCGCGCCGCCCCTCGCGGCCCCTTCGCGGCCCGACGCCGCCCTTCACGGCCCCGTCGCCGCCCTTCGCGGCCTCTCGCGGCCCCGTCTCGGCCTCGTCGCCGCCCTTCACGGCCCCTCACGGCCCCTTACGGCCCCTCGCGCCGCCCTCTAGCGGCCCCGTCGCCGCCCCTCAGCGGCCCCGTCGCTGCCCTACCGCGGCCCCGTCGCCGCCCTCTAGCGGCCCCGCCGCCGCCCTTCAGCGGCCCAGTCGCCGCCCTACCGCGGCTCCGTCGCCGCCCTCTAGCGGCCCCACCGCCGCCCTTCAGCGGCCCCGTCGCCGCCCTACCGCGGCCCCGTCGCCGCCCTCCAGCGGCCCCGTCGCCGCCCTCTAGCGGCCCTGCCGCCGCCCTTCAGCGGCCCCGTCGCCGCCCTCCAGCGGCCCCGTCGCCGCCCTCTAGCGGCCCCGCCGCCGCCCTTCAGCGGCCCCGTCGCCGCCCTACACCGGCCCTGCCGCCGCCGTCGCTGAGCCGCCGCAGCTCCAGCCGAGCCGCCGAGCCGCCACCGAGCCGCCCAGCAGCCGCCGAGCCGCCGAGCCGCAGCTGAGCCGCCGCCGAGCCGCCGAGCCGCCGCCGAGCCGCCGCCGAGCCGCCGAGCCGCTGCTGAGCCGCCGAACCGCCGCCGCCGCAGCTGCGGCCCTGTTCCTGCCGGCGCGCCCCGGCCCTCCCCACTCGGACTGGTGAGAGCTTTCCCGAGCAGCGTCTCTGCCACTGCACTACCTCTAGCCTGCCGCTCTCACCCCTAGACTGCTGCTGTCATGGCTACCCCCAGTGTCCTTACCTTTGATGCTGAGGGTCGGGCTGTTGACTTTGAGGTCTGGGTCGATGACTTGCAGCTTTTCCTACAGTGCGATAGGGCAGACGGTCTCTCCCTTTTCGATCTCACGTCTGGTGCCTCTCCTGCCCCGTCTGCCGATGCTGATGCCACTGTTCGCTCACAGTGGGCCACGCGCGATGCTGCTGCTCGCCTTGCTGTGCGCCGCTACTTACCGACCGCTGAGCGCGCGCATTTTAGTCAGTACAAGAGTGCTAAGACCTTGTACGACGCTGTCGTTGCACGCTACTCTTCCCCTGCCACTGCTGGCCTTAGCCGCCTCATTCTGCCGTACCTCTTCCCTGACCTCGCCGCATTTCCCACAGTCGCTGACCTCATTACGCACCTTCGCACTAGTGACATTCGCTACCGCGCTGCGCTTCCTGCTGAGTTCTGCGCCAAGAACCCCCCCCCTATGTACATCACCCTCTACTACATAGTCACCCGGCTCCCTGACACCCTTCGCTCGGTCAGGGACCACTTCCTCTCTGTTTGCCCCACCACCCTCACCGTTGACCTCCTCGAGGAGCGTCTCCTAGCGGCAGAAAAGAGTATAGTCGCTGTAGGAGCCTCTCGTGGTGACCCTCGCACCCCTGTCTTTGAGGGGTGCTCCCCCTCCCCCCTCTTGCCCTCTGTTGCCTCTGCTGCTGCGGCCGACCTCGTTGGTCTTGAGTCGGTCGGCGCGGCGTCTGCCCCTAGCGGGAGACGCCGCACAGGCAAGGGCAAGGGGGGCAAGGGCGCTGGAGGGGCTGGCGGGGGCGGTGGAGGCGGCGGTGGAGGCGGCGGAGGGGGTGGGGTTGGCGGTGGGGGTGGTGGCGGGAGTGGGGGCGCTAGTGGCGGCAGAGGAGGCGGAGGAGGCGGCGGTGGTGGCGGCGCGAGCGGAGGTGGTGGAGGTGGAGGCAGTGGTGGAGGTAGCGGCGGCGGCGGTGGAGCTGGTCGGGGCGGCTCTTCGCAGAGGGTCGGCTCCGGCGGTGGTCAGCGCCAGCAGCAGCAGCTGCAGCGCACTCGTGAGACCCCTTCCCCCAGCAGCTTCGTGAGTGGTACACTGCTCGTCAGCGGGGTGGGGGTGCTGGCCCCTGTACCTACGTTCTGCGTACAGGCGACCGCGCGGGTGAGCAGTGTGGGGGTCTGCACTCCACCCAGCGCTGCTTCGGCCGCCTGACGGACGCTTGGCGTCATCAGTTCCCCGACGCTACTGAGATCCCTCGCTGGGGCGAGCTGTCTAGGGCGGGTGTTGCGATCTTTGATCTTGATTATGATGCTATTCTTGCTGCAATGTATTCTGTGACTATTAGTGATGAGGGTGACTGTTACCGGTGTTTTCCGCCTGACCCGGGCATTGAGACTGCTGCTCTAGGTGCTGATGAGGCTGCTGCTCTAGGTGCTAGTGAGTCTGCTGCCCCAGGTGCTGGTGAGTCTGCGCTCTCAGGTACCGCGTCGGCCCCGGCCACCCACACTTTCACCCTTGACTCGGGTGCTTCCCGCTCCTTCTTTCGAGACCGCACCACGCTTACGCCGCTTAGTCGGCCAGTGGCAGTCTCCCTGGCAGACCCCTCTGGGGGTCCTGTCCTTGCCCACATCTCCACTGTCTTACCGTGTCCGGCGGCCCCTTCTGGCACCCTGTCGGGTCTTTACCTCCCCTCGTTCTCTACGAACTTGGTGAGTGGTGCTGACCTGCAGGATGGAGGGGTTCACCAGTTCACTCCTGCGAGTCAGCGAGTGACCCACTGTACCTGTGCTCGGACGGGCCGTCACTTGGCCACGTTTACCCGTCAGCCGGGGTCGAGCCTGTACACACTGACTACTGAGTCTCCTCCGGTCGCTGAGTCTGCTCAGGTAGCTGCGTCGGGTCAGGTGTTTGCTGCGGCGTCCAGGTCTGGTCCTGAGTCTGCCCCCTGCTCGTGTCGTCTCTTGTCTCACCAGACTCTCCTTTGGCACCACCGCCTTGGTCACCCCTCCCTGCCTCGTCTTCGAGGCATGGCCTCCCGTGTCCTTGTCTCTGGTCTCCCCCGGTCCCTCCCTCCTCTTCCTCCGGGGCCTGCCCCCACCTGCGTTCCCTGCGTCGAGGGCGGCAGCGCGCTGCTCCTCACTCCTCCGAGTTTCCTCCGACAGAGGCTCCGCTGCAGATGCTTCACATGGACGTGTGGGGCCCAGCCCGCGTCCGTGGACAGGGTCACGAGCGTTACTTCCTGCTGGTGGTTGACGACTACTCGCGTTACACCGCAGTCTTCCCCTTGCGCAGCAAGGGTGAGGTCACTGAGGTGTTGATCGCCTGGATCCGCGCAACTCGTCTCCAGCTCAGAGAGAGTTTCGGCTCGGACTTTCCTGTACTGCGTCTGCACTCTGACAGAGGCGGAGAGTTCTCCTCTGACCTTCTGCGAGCCTTCTGTCGTGCACGAGGCATCCGCCAGACCTTCACGCTTCCGGACTCTCCGCAGCAAAATGGGATTGCTGAGCGCCGCATTGGCATGGTCATGGACGTCGCTCGTACATCCATGGTCCATGCGGCTGCCCCCCATTTTCTGTGGCCGTTTGCGGTTCG